ATTGTACAGTGGCATTAAGTGTAATGTGCACCTATGCCTACCCCTTCGGGGATAAAAAAGCGTGATGTTATGTATGTCATAATAAAATATGGTCAAAATTCATCAAAATGTTCTTGGAACAGGTGGTTCCGACAATTGCCCGAATTACAGCTCGGCTCGTATTGATTTATGGGATCTCCGTTCTAGGAACACGCTACTGCATCCTATGTCCACATTTACATACAAATCATATTACATCACTCCTTTTATTCCCCGAAGGCACTAGGTTAGGTACATTGGCACAATATTGTACCGCAGTTGGTGCGGTGGCTGGGCAACGTGTATCGGGTTCGATTCCCGCACGGAGCAATTGTTTATGTGATTCACAAATTGTTGTTTCGAGTCTGCATGTCGTGTGTATTAATTGTGTGTTTGTAAACGCATCTACGACATAGGAGAAAATCTTAGTGTAGATATAACGAATTTTGTGAAAAGAGAAAAAAAAGGTAGAAAAGAATTGTAACGCCAAGTTTTTACTACTTCTGTTATTATTAACGGTTCACAATTATTGGCATATTCATTACAGACCCCATACCAGCATATTGGAAAACAAATAATATTTAAAACATTACTAAAAGCTTTTCATCAAACGAACCCCATATCCCTTGTTCGACAGTTGATCTATTCTATTCGACTGACTGTGTTAATACTATGGGTTTTCATCACTCTTCCACTGTATTGTAATTTCCTCTTGTGCAATGAAATGCATATGAATTTCACTTCTGTGTCCGAAGCTGTTATGGTGGAAAATGTTCTGTAGTTTGCATTGCTCGTATGGCATTTATTGGAAAATTCTTCAGTCGTTAGTACAGGGATTACTACTTGGGAAAGGGTGGTATTTTTTATTTTGTTAAATCAGATGTGGTGATGTTCTTGTTAACTTCGTGTTGTGGATTATGGAATATGGATGCTGTACTCTGATCGCGACCAATATTATTGAGTTTATAATAATTATGGCAATTGACCGCCCTCCATTTTTAATATGGCACTTATAAAAGCTTTTGCTAGCGGATTGACCCGCGTTACCGCAGGATGAAAAGTAATAATACCATAAACTTATGGTCTAGAATAACACATAGGCTTTTCCCAATTTAATCCTGATCCCTTCAGCGTTTTGACGTGACTGAGTATCAACTATAAACACAAACTAACAAACTGTAGTATTTATAATATTAGAAAGATCTGGGGAAAGGTGTTGCCTGTACACTTCTGCCTACCTCTCATAAACTGATAAGTCAGATAACAGATACATGTAAAAAATGTTTCATGTTAAAATTTTTCAAGGGGTCAATGAACTTGTACCCTGACACGTTTTTATATACAGCAGCAACTTATTTATTTTATTACGTTTACATAGTTGGACTCATTGTTTCAAAATTGCGAACACACCCTTTTCGATAATAGTATGTAGTACACGTTTGCTTGTACAATTTAAGAAAGATTTCATACTTTAACTACCAGGTACATGATTAATTATCATATATAGGAATAATATAATTACACAAATATGTCTTCAAGCATTTTAATCCCCAAAGAACAGGATACCACATTTCAATAGTTTTGAGTCTTATGAAATAGAGAATAAGTATGCTGCCATGCACCAAGAAACGATTCTATGACTAAGTTGTGTCCAATATTACTACAAGTCAAATGCTTAAAAAAATCTGAATTCTAATCAGGTTGGACATTCAGCCAACTCTAAATAAAACTAAATGCTGACCCCTCAAAAATTAGGAAGAAAACACCAGACAAATAAGTGCCCAATATTAACTTCCACTTTCATCCTTCTGCAGGACACTCCACCCCTGGACTTGGAGAATGTGTCAGAGACTCTGCTGGAGAAGAACATCCAAGCCAGCCAGATGAAGTTCGGCTTCCTTGGCCTGGGCATCATGGGCAGCGGAGTGGTGAAGAATCTGCTCAACTCCGGACATAAGGTGGTCATCTGGAACAGAACTGCTGCCAAGGTAAGTGGACTATTTGCTGTTACTTGAGAGCTGCTGGTCACAAGGGTCTGGTCTTCTTGATTAAGGAATCTTAGGGTATTGTTTTGTACCTACAGTAATTTGGGGATATGAGCAGATGGACTGCAGCGGTTTGTGAGGACTCTAGGATGTTTTCTATGTCCTTTCTATGGTCGTGAACGTTCAGGATGTGCCTTGATAAGGGATTCGTTTTTATTCTATTTTTTCATTTTATTTGATTCTTATGGTTTGTTGTTAGGTTTAATTTGTTTAGTTTAATTTCCTAATTTGGTAGGTTTAAATTATTTAGTTTTATTTTTGTGGATACGGCAATCTGTATGTATATTGACTTTTTATATGTAGAAGGTTACACATAAATTCTTAAAATTGTTTAATATTTTTAATGTAAAATTGTTCTATTTGATTTATCCTAGTGAAAGTTTCATTCATATAGAATGATCTAATTCAATAACTAAGTTATAACAAAGAACAACAATACATAGTGTCTGGCACTGAATTAATCTTAACAATGACTAGTAATATTACTTTCAGTCTATCTGGAATCTAGTCATTGTCATTCATACTAGGAAATATTAACCGTGGAATCCACAGTAATAATAAAAAAAAAATAAAACTACCAGAGGCTAATTATTAATTTTTGACTCGGCAATTAGAATAGTTGATGCACTTTCTCATATGTGGGATGAACTCTTTTTTTACTTGTCATGCGTTCACTTTAGGCAAGAATCAACAATATACAAAATAATGGGTTTAGTTAACCCTTGTTTTAATTTTTCTACTTAATAGAAAGAATTTGTCAAAATCCTGGCTGTTTCTGGCCCATACTGCGACAAGCTACAAAATTGTAACATAACATAACATCACGCGTTTTATCCCCGAAGGGGTAGGCAGAGGTGCAAATTATGCCACTGTAATTGTACAGGTTACATTGGTACCTACCCACTTTTCACTATTTATGTTATGAGTCCCATGTAATAGGGGGCGAGCCTATTACCATATACCGGGCACAATTCCAGACTACTACTACTGAGATTTTTTTTAAAACCCCGTATTAATTTGCCCGACCCGGGAATCGAACCCGAGACCCCTTGCCCGGCAGTCGCACTTGCGACCACTCTGCCAACGAGGCAGTTACAAAATTGTTTGACATAAAATATCGCCTTTGTTTTAGCAACCACATCTTCTCTAGTTATTAAAACAATAAAGTTATCACTGCATGTTATGCAGCTAATAATATTAACATATGCACGTTTTAAGTAAAATGGCTGACATCGTGTAATATGATGCGTACATCGTGGTGTCTGATGTACCTTCGTATCAGGTTCCACGGTATTTGCACGACCACTTATTTAGCAAATATTATTTTCATTTACAAGGTTTTTATATTTTATGTTATAATTACATATTTGGCTTAAAGTTTTGAGGAGGATCTTTAGGAAGTATATTTTAAAGGACTTAAAAAATAGACTGACTCGTTGGCCGAGTAGTCGCAAGTGCGACTGGCAGGGCAAGGGGTTTCGGGTTCGATTCTCAGGTTGGGCAAAGTATTACTGGGTTTTTAAAAATTCTCAGTAGTAGCACGGAGTCTCGAATTGTGCCCAGTATATAGCAATAGGCTCACGCCCTTAAACATTGGGACTTACAACATAAATACTGAAAAGTGGGTGTTTCATTGTACGGTGGCATTAAGTGCCGTAGTGTCCACCTCTGCCTACCCCTTTGGTGATATAAGGCGTGGTGTTGTTGTAAAAATAGACTGCTCAGTATTAGCAATTAGGTACTTGGTAAAATTAAGAGACAAGGGAAGACTAGGGCACTTTATCTAGTTCTTGAGTCTTGTAATATTTTCTCGACAACGAGAAGTAAAGTTGTACACGCCCTAGACTTATCGCCAAGTGCGTTCGGCAGTCATTTTGTTAAGATCGTTTTAACCGACTTAAATGAAAGGGGTTCTTAGTTTACTGTTTACAAAGCATTCGATTCTCAGCTGCCGCGAACTTATGAAGTATGTAGAATAGAATAAAAGATAGATAATATTTTTCAAAACGAAATCAAAATTAAAACATTTATTTCAATCCTTAATTAGGCACTTTTCAAACGTCAAATGCAATTGTTAGTGAAGCTAGGTGCTTGTTCCAAAGTGTAGTTTTGAAGGGAGAAGAACGAGCAAGGAATTATCATCGTTACTCTTTTCTCTTTGAAAGAGAAACAACATTGTTCTATACTATAACATTTTCGCATCGATAAATACTTATTTCCGCTCCGTTTCGGATTTAATATAAATAGAATATAAAAAATAACCGTAGTATGCTAATAAAATTATTTATTTAGCATTTATAGGGCGCGTTGTGAACCAACAAATGTATTTATATTTCCACAAACTAGGCTATTTTGCTTCTTTCTTTTTGGTGTATGTAGGGAATATTGGGATACCGAGATTGGCTTTTTTGTTAATTCATTTTCATCATCACGTTCTATGTCGTGACGTGTGATATTATAATATTTGTTGAATTTGGCGGCGTCTCCACATTTAGTTTATTTAGTGCTATTATATAAAACCGTGTGTCCGTCTTTATATATTTAGTAAAATCATTGGAATCCTATTGTTATTCAAGATACGTCGTGCCAAATAAACTTTGAAATCAGAACAAAGTGTTTTATTTGTACGGCTTCTTTCAATTTGTAGACGTTTCGGCGCCATATTCTTTATATACTTCTAGGGTCAATGACCTCTACCTTAAGTACATGAATATCTGTCATGACATGTGTCACATGAAATCACGTTTAAAAGAAATTTAATAAAAGGAAATGTTACACTTTTACATGCAATAAACTGTATATACTGTTGGAATATTTTAAAGTATTCTTCTCTCAACTATCAATATTCAAACTTCTGTTTCAATTTATATGCTAGCAGTAAAAGCCTTAAATGTTAGCAGTAAATATTTCATTAAGCTAAGTTGTTGACTAGATAACCTGAATTTAAGATATCCTTAGAAAGTGCTTGGTAATTGTTGTGTGCCAGTTGTTTACTTAACATTATTATTGAGAGCCAAGTGAATATTAAAACTCTGTGTCATGTTCTGTACAAGACATATTTAACAACTTGTGTAATCAGAACGATGTGAAAATGGTAATCTTGTTGTTTGTTTTTGGGTCTGTGAGTGCCTCTAAATATCACAAAAAATTAAATAATACCAAAGTGTACATTGAAAAATAATTTATTCTCCATGATTAGCTGTTTTACTCTTGTTTATATATTTAGAAAATTTTCAACAATATTTGTATATTTTATAATAGAAACGTCATATAATATAATCATTGCTGGATTGTATTTTTGGCATATCACTGCAAGACTCTGCTGTACATTCTGTAGGACAGTCACAAAATATATATAAATATGATAATGCATAGTTACAGTAGAGGTTGTCGAGAGAGGAAGTGTGTGAGTGCACTGTCGTGCAGCAGAGAGAGCCCAGCGAGCCCACAGAGTACAATGACCGCGCAACAATTACAACAAGGACAGTAACAACTTCTTATACCTCACTTTAAGTTGAACAATATAAAATGCATAACTCTAAGAGTTTACCCTAAAAATACATCAAAATGGAAAATGATTGAAACAAACAGAAGTTATTTACAAGTTCTAATACCCACAGAATGCTTAATTAACAGGTTCATTCGATTCACTACTACGAACGATTAAGAACAGATCGTTTCAGTATACTCCTTATCGCCTACCACTAGAGACAGTACGAAATTAAATTGTCGCTAAATTCAAATCTAGTCTATCACAGCTTACTTAGAAGTACAAGCGGCATCGACGGCGGCGACGACGCCCGAGCCATCCCGAACGGTCCCTTCACACTATGCTAACCTTACAATATTATTGACATTGGAAACAATCCGGCAAGACACGCTCCGAACACCATCAGACGTAGGAAGGCTCGCCGCCGCTCAAATCACAGAGTCGCAAGGCGGGCTCCGGGCGGCGCGCCAGGCCCGCCAGGCCCGCCAGGCCCGCCAGGCCCCGCCGCGACCGCCCCGACACGGCGTACACCTTGTACACGCGCGTCAGCAGCCGGTACTACAAGGGCCGGCCGCCGCCCTCCGGCGCGCCCAGCTCCACCGCCAGCAGCACGCGCGCCGCCGCCGCCGCCTCC